TGGGTCTGAGTCACTGGACCAGCTAGCAGCCCATCTTCCAGACTCACTTAGCAGAATTTGCATTGGTAAGGCCTCCACGTTCATTTCCAGGAGTGCGATACTTTACCACCTCACACCCAAGCACGTAGAAATCTCTGCCCGCCGAAAGAGAGGAATCACACTAAAAATGCAAAAAGAAGGCTCAAAACTTAGGCAGAATCCCTTTGAAAGCTAACAAGGTACACAGGAGGCATTTACTTCTGCTGTGGAGGCTGATTTATTAAAGACAGACCAGTCTTGACAAAGAATCTCAAATATTGATTACTTAAAGCTTCCTCACTGGAAGAGAAAATGTGGAGCCCAGCTCACAGTCGCAAAGATTCAGCTGTCTACATGCAGGATAAGCAGCAAAATTTCACAAGGTATTTATAAATCACCAACAAAGCATGATTCCACAAAGTTACTTCCAGGTTTGTTTGTCCATTTGGGGCAGGGCCCATGAGTTTCTAGGGTGCACATTTCCTCACAGACCAGGAACACTGCTTTCAGCATCTCAACGTTAGAGCAGGCTGACTGTAAAGCAAGTTCTCAGACAAGTGTGTTTCCTCGGGGATAGTCATTGTTGATAGTTACACAGACGACGGATTTCCACTCTAGGAAGGAACCCATATGGAAAGAAAGTCGGAAGGACTCTTTTTCTAGCGCAGTCTCAGGCCTGAGCATTTCTGACAGCCAGAAAACCAGAAAAAGCCAAGGGAAAGTTCAAGTCACAGTGTGGGGAAATTTTAACCAGAAATGGCCACGTGATTTCCACAAAGCTCACACAAAAGAGGGAAATTTTAACCAGAAATGGCCACGTGATTTCCACAAAGCTCACACAAAAGAGGGAAATTTTAACCAGAAATGGCCACGTGATTTCCACAAAGCTCACACAAAAGAGGGAAATTTTAACCAGAAATGGCCACGTGATTTCCACAAAGCTCACACAAAAGAGGGAAATTTTAACCAGAAATGGCCACGTGATTTCCACAAAGCTCACACAAAAGAGGGAAATTTTAACCAGAAATGGCCACGTGATTTCCACAAAGCTCACACAAAAGAGGGAAATATTAGTGTGGAAGAAAAGAAAAAGAGAGGTAAGCTTCTTTGACAAGTAAGATTGAAGGATGGTTTCGGGGAGTCCTCGGAACCACCTGTGACCAGAGGTCAGCACCCGGCTGAGGTCAGCAGCTACGTGAAAAGCCTCCCGTGAAAAGCAAACTCACGGGGTCTGTGTGGAAAGGGGTATTGAGTTTAGGTGCAAATGTAAAGTTTAATCAGGTTTGGGGTTATACTCTGAAAGGCTCAGGCACTCCGGTGGAGACCCCAAATCACTGCCAGTCGGTTCCTGGGGCCCTCTCCCTGGGGCGGCCTGGGGTGACAGGACACAGCTCTGGGACCCTCCCACAGAGGGCTTCCCTCCCCTCACTGGAGGAGGCCAGATGATGAGTCCCCACATCCCATTTATGATGTCCTGAGAGGTGTTCCTCAGGTACCTGGATTCTGGGACCCCTACCCAAATGGCCCTGAGCCTTCCTCGCTGGACTTCCTGGACCTTTGTTGCCTGACTGGGGAGCAGATTGCTCTGGGTCACCTCTGGCCATGCCTGATCCAATTCCCCAGGCGAGGAGGATGGCGACTGGGGGCTGCTTCCCCGCACTTCCAAGCCAGCAGCCGAGTCACCTCTTGGTACCTCCCACCCTCCCACCTTCGTTTCCGCTCACTCCAGACCCCCTGGACTTGAGGGTCTACATCTTCGATCACGGGTTTGGGTTCCTGCCTGGAATCCCTTCCCCCTTCTCCTTTAGAAAATGCCTGCCCACTTTTCAAACCCACTCAGCTGCGCCCCCCAGCATTGGATGGAGCCTTCACTGCGTTCCCACGGCACTGGGGGGACCACGGCCACGTTCACACACCGTGGGAGCGGTCCAGAGGTGGGCCTGCCTTACGAGACAGCGGGCTCCTGCAGGGTGAGCTGTGTTCGGGCTTTTAGAAGGGTCCAGCCCGGTGGCACCACGTTGCAGGGGCTTGGAGATGCTTTCCAGCAGGCTGAGTGCAAGAACCTGTATGTAGCTCCCATAGCTCTGACGCATGCATTTATCTGTTCACTGGCCACCGAAACGGCTCAGGTTAGCCCTGGCAGCCTTTCTTACAACCAGCAACGTTCATCTGACAATTCATGAGCGTCTTAAATGTGTTGGGTGCCATAGTGGGTGGAGGGGTAAAAAGAATGGTTTGTCTCAGTGCTGAACAATCAGGGACTGAGCAGCTTTTGTTTTGCGACTCGTCAGACGCTGCATAAGGGTTTCTCGTGATGTTCAGGTCCCCCCAGGGGGCTCATACCCTCAAGGGTAGGATAACATAGACTTGCTCCTTGACCCTGGGGAGGCCACCAGCAGGCCCACCCTGACAGGTGGAGAAGAGAGGCCCCTCCTGGGCCGAGCCCGGCCCCGTCCTGCACCTGCCAGCACGGGGACCCCCCCTAGGCAGCAGGTCAGGCTTCTCCACCGGGGTCTCCCCCCTCTGAGAGGTGGGTCCGGGGAGGAGGCCTGTGCAGGCCTTGGCCACAGGTACAGGCTGCCTGGGTGGAGAATTCTGAAATTCCGGGTGCCTCGAGCGTGGTCTTGAAGGGGCGGACCTTGGCCCCTGGACTCCCTGCCCTGTGGTTTCTGTGATGCAGGGCCCAGGGCCGAGGGTGGGGGTCAGAGCCAGTGATGACAAAGTGTGAAGCTGCAGGCTTATGTCCACTCTTTTAGGCACGTGAGGAAAAAAAAGCACCTTTAAGCAAAGGGTGGAATTACCCTTGTTTGTCTACTCGGCCTTCATGCCTGCCTGGGATGCACTGCCACAGAGGGCAGAGGCCTTACGGGGACCCTCGGCTCACGAAGGACAAGGCACACGCACCCTCCTCAGGACCCCGGTGGGAGGTGGAGCCCCGCCATCGGCAGATAACAGCACTGCCTTGGGAGACGGAAGCTCGTGCTGTTCGGGCCCGGGCCGAGAGTGGAAGCCTCATCTCTCAGATGCCGAGGCATCAGGGCGCTAAGGCTGCTGGGGCATTCTGGACCCGACGCGGTGCCTGGGCCTTCTCAGCCCGGTGACCGGGAAGGCTCCCTGGTGCCAGGGGTGGCAGCTGCCATCCACAGTAACTGCTCTGTGCCTGTAATTGCCCTGAAGGGCAGGAGGCTGCAGAGTCTGCTTTATCGTTTGGTATTTTTAGAGAATGTCTTTGCTGACAGAAGATCCCTCGTGCCTGTTTTTCAGGCAGAGTACTGGCCGGTTGGGGTGATGGGGAAAGTTCACCAGGAAGGGGGTCACGCTGAGGGCAGCTTATGGGTCCAGAGGGTAAATATCTCACCGGAAGCCACGCACAAAGCAGGGAGCACAGAACTGGGCCCCAACCCACATCTAGTCTGACTCCAGAGCCCAGGGTGTGCCCACTGACCTACTCAGGTTAGGTGTGGATGGAAAAGTAAGGTCTCTGTCCCCTCCCCTGAGTCATGGTGTATGTGTGACTGCAATAGAGGCCGCTGGAAATGACGTGTGTGACTTCTAATTCTTCCTCGCCACCGTGACCCTCCCTCTGCAAACCCTCAGCTGCCACGTGGAGCCACGCTGGAGGGGCCACACCGAGGTGCTCTGGTCAGCAGTCGCAGCCGGGCTAGTCCTCTGGGCACCGCAGACACGGACAGCAAACAAGGGAGTAGACGAGCCTTCTCCGAGGGCTCCTCCAGCAGCAACGGCTCCAGCCCCAGCCATCGGCGTCACCACCAGCCATCCGAATCATCCCACCCTGGGCCCCGGATCCGGGGGTACAGCATCCCCTCTGTGCCCTTTCTGAACTACTGACCCCTGGAACCCATGAGAAACAGAAAGTGGTTATTGGGTGTGTCACTAAATTGGGAGACTGTTTCCCAGCAAAAAATAACCAGAATGGAATTAAGAGCATTCCGGGGGAAAGTGAATGCCGCCGAGATGGGAAAGCACAGTGACGAACCTAGTGGAGCCTCTGCCCCGGGTCTTTCTGGTTCTGCAGCCTCTCTTTCGAGAAAGCTTCACCCCTGCACCCTCTCCAAACTCTCCGAATGGGCAGAAGGAAAATCAAAGGCCTTCAAGCCACTGGGCCTGTGGACGAAGTGCTAGGGCAGTGGTGGATATTAAGAGCCAGAACACACTTTTATGAACCCCCTACTACGTGCCATTACATTTAATCCACGAATTTAACAAATACTTTGGCCCCATCATGTGCCAGGAACAGGTCTGGGAAGGAAGCCACGCACAAAACTACGTCCATGTTCTCATGGGGCTGATGTGTGAGTGAGGGTGACGGGCAGTAAGCAAATAACTCTATAATATTATGGCACAGAGTGCTCGGTGCTGTGGAGAAAAGTAAAGCCGGGTAAGGGGAAAGACAGGCAGTTGACAAAGGCTGGTTGGGAAAGGAAGGCCTCCCCAAGCAGGTGGCGTTTCAGCAGAGAGAGCCCATGCTCTGCCCAACCTCAGAACCCACGCCCTGGGCATGGGTATCAAGGAAAGAAAAATCCAGGTATCTTCCAGTGTACACACATGTGGCCTCTTAGAAACAGTACATTTGGATACACACTTCCATATATAAAATAGATAAACAACAAGGACTAACTGTAAAGCACAGGGAATTATACTCGATATCTTGTAATAACTTATAATAGAAAAGAATCTGAAAAAGAATAGGTACACGTATATATACACACACATATAGATATTACGTAACTGAATCACCATGCTGCACACCTGAAACATTGTAAATCGACTATATTTCAATAAAAGCATTTTTTAAAAAGTACATTTGGAGATCGCCCTCCATGGGGCTCACAGGCCCCCTACCAGGTATGTGAACAGGAGGGGAGACTCCCCTGAGGGCACCTCTCTGCACCCCCCCCCCCAAGACCTCCGCCAGGCCTTCCCTCCGGCCCTGAACACAGGGCCACCAGAGGGGTACTTACACAGAGCACGTGGAGGACCACCGCCCCCTGTCTTCTGTCCTCGTTGGTGAAGATGTCATTGGGGAACTCGTGCAGGGCTACAAAAGGGAGAGAGAAAAACAGCTCAGTACAGGTGGCAACACTTTCAGGGCGGGAGGTCTGGGACAGCGCCGCCATCCTCGTTCTGATACGGGGTCCACGAACCCGGATGAGGAAAGATTACATCTTCATGTTCACAAATCTCTAACTGGAATTTGGTGTTTCCTCCAGATAAGAACGGAGGCAACAAACTGCAGCTGTGCTAGAAGCACCCGGGCTCTGCCCCCAGGAGACATGTTCATGATCCTCTGTCCTGCCATCCGCATGGCTCACTCATCAATTTAGCGTGAGGGTGGCTTGCAAACTGCCACCTGTGACCAAGGGTTCGTGAGAAAACACAGGAACCACGATCATGCAGGTCTATCTTCTAACACAGTGACAACTTCATTTCAGTGGATCAGTCTCCCTCTGTCACCTCACACATCTTGCAAACACTGAAATGTTTTCCCGAGCAGAGGTCTGCAGGCTTCAGGGATTACCCAGACGTCCGTGGCACACACAGGATTAAGTCCCTCCTCTAAACTGTCCCTCTGTCCCTCCTTTCCTTGTCCCACTCCTGCCCTGGCCTGGGGCCTGGGCCTCTTATGACTCCCTCCCGGCTCTCATTTCTAAAACACATTGCCCTCCCCTCCCCAGGGAGTCCAGTACAGGGCAGAAACCACGAGAAATCATCCTTTCTGCCCACTTTCCAAACCCAGGACGCTGATGGCCGCTGTAGGGCAAAGCTAAGGAGAGGGAACCCTGCAGGGCAGGCCTGTCTCTCACCCTCGGGCACCCAGAGCCCAGATTTCCTGTCACCGTCCGGCCCACCGTGCGCCTGGACCTGGCCGACCCTGCGCCCCACTCCGTGGTTCTGAAGATGACAAGCCCCGCCCACAGGTCCTTCCTGATGTGCCCTTCGTCTGTATGAACTCTCAGCGCCTGTGGGATGGGCTGGCTGCTGACAGGCCGGGATGGGCAGAGACGGAGGCTCTGGGGGCAGGACGGCCACACAGACTTGTGCAGAGTTGACAACGGCACACGCAGTGAGCTCTGCTCCTGGCAGGCACGGGCCCTGCACTTCGCACCCACTATGCCTCTGACCCGGGACGGAAAGCTGCTGCTCCCGTGCTGTAGACGAGGAACCCGAGGCGCAGCCAGACTGGACACCGTGCTAGAGGGTCCACAACGAGGACCACGCACCCAGCAGACGGGCCGGGGCCACCCTCATGCTGTGATCCCGGCTCCCGGCATCTATTTGCCATCTTACTCCATCCGGTGACCTCTTCCTTCTGGGGGCCCCTCCAAGCAGGGGACCTGATCTGATCTAAATTCTGCCTCCACACACCAGAGGGAAGCAGGTGGGCTGTTTGTTCCTTTGCATTTCTCTGTGCAGCTGCCACGGGGCTTTTCAGCACCGGGCAGTTCCCGGGTAAATGTGACCATCCCATTGCCCACCTACCCCCAGAAGTGGAGACTGGTTGGTTGGCCTGGTTAGTGTATCGATCAGGACAGCCGTCATCCTGGGGAAACTGAAACCAGGGTCTTCCCTGTGATGGGCGCCATGCAGAACATTCATGCGTGGGGACCGCCTACCATCAGCGAGGAGGAAGTGGGAAAAGTGAGGGGGCATCAAGGTACCTCTGGTGCTGATATATGGAAGCCAGCTACTTTCATCCCCCCTACCCCACCCTGGCTGAGGGCAGCAGGTGAAGGGAGTGAAGGCCACGGTGCAGGCAGCCTTACCAGTCTGCGTCTGCAAGGCGCCCACACCGTGCCAGCTCCGTCATCCCTGCCTCTCTACCAGGACCTGCAGGAATGGTTTGATCAAGGGTACTATGTCAGTATGTGATACATTTATGTTTTGAATCCAGGCATTTTGGTTTTTAAATCCCCTTGGCACTCAACAGTGAGTGGAATGACCATGACCAGGTGGATCCTCCGGGCTTTGAGTTTTGGTAGGGGAGGGTCTCGGCAGAGGTCTGGATGCCCAGCCAACCCTGGGACCTGGCTGGGGCTCTTGGATAGGACCAGGCTGAGGGCTGTGCCCTTGGATGGGGAAGGACCCACAGAGCCCAGTGCTGACGCCGGAGGGGCTGAATGCTGTCCAAAGTCCTGGCCAAGCACGTGTTGGGCGGGGGTGAGGGGGGGACAGGAGGGGGGAGTGGGCGTGGGGACCACAGAACTGTCCTTCAGGCTTCTCCTTCCTTACGGCTCAGGGACCCTCCTCTCTCTCCCTCTGGGGAGTGGGAGGCTTGGCAGTGTCCCCGTCTTGATCTGCTCTTCCTGGCCTGGTGCCTGATTCATCACCAGCCGGAAACTCCTAGTCCCTGGTCAAGGGTGTCTCCTCCTGTCAGAACCCATGACTGGCTGCGAGAAAATCGGTGAAATTCTCCGTGAGATGATCCCAGTGTAGCAGCGGGGGGGCCGGGGGCTGTGAGCAGAGCAGCTGGCCCTGCCAGACCTCCTCACTGAGCTGAAGGTGGCTGGGCCACCGTGGCTGAGACAGAGCATGCGTGTGTCAGGGGGTCAGCTGGGGGGAATGTAAGGCAGCGGAGAGTTAGTTAAATGCCTTCAAATTGGTTTGCTTCCGAACAGCAACAGAAGTCTTCTTTGGTGGATCCCAGGCGTGTGGGA